ACCAGCCAGGGAAGCCGAATCCAGCTACGCATTGTGCACCTCTGGTCCCTGGACTATCAAGTCTGTTCTATGCTGCTGTTCAGGAATAATGGCATTGCACAAGAGGGTTTTTCTTGCACAAGAAGGGGCAGTGTAGATGCTCCTTCTGGCACAAGAGCCTCTTCTGCAAAAATGACAGCTCATTAGATATGCAAATGAGGTTCAGTGATATTCCATGCTTAGCTTCATTTGCATATTTCTGGTGCAAGACGGATGCAGTATAGGCATAGCCTAGGTTGCTGGTGTTTCTCAATTGATGCTTAAACCTGCATTAATGGCACCTCAGCCTGGGAGCCTCTGCCTGAGCCTCTTCCTGCTCTTCAGCATCGTTCTTGACCTAAGGCTCATGCCAGGGTAGGAACCCTTATCAGCCCCATTTTCCAATGGGTGAAGGGAGGCCCACAAGAGGTGGCGCAACGTGCCCGGAGTCAGCCAGGAGAAGTTCTGTGCAGGGGAGGGACAGAGGGGACAGATACTTTTTCTTAGGCGGAGGGAGGGCATGTGTGTTCTTGTGCTTCCCTGTGCCCCCTTTCAGATTGGCTTGTGGAGGGCTCCTGCCTCCCCCCTCTTCCTTCTTGTACCTTCCCTGCTCTGCTGCTGAGGGGCTGCTGGGCCTGGGTCAAAAGGGTGACGTGCCTGGCTGGGTTGGGCTGGAGTGACGGGGGTGAGACTGGCAGCCACATTGCCTGGTGCCTCCTGAATGGCAGCCCCTGACAGAGCCAGGCCCTCCTCAGTGTGGGCTGCAGCTGGACAGAGCGAGTGCTCAAGGGGTCGGCGGTAATGGTGCAGTGGTACAGCCGGAATCTAAACAGTGGAGGAGGCAGCTCTTCCTGGAGAGGGGTGGAGCCGTGAGAGCCCATATGCAGATGTTGTCACAAGCAGAGCCCTGTGGGAGTGGAAGTGGTCTGGTGAGTGGTCCTAAATCTCGAGTGGGGTCTGACTGCGGCATCAGGGCAGCATCAGGGAGGTGCAGGCAGGAGGGACGTGGTGCAGGATGGTCATGTGGGGTTGAGAGGCTGTGACCACCCTGAGGTGAGAGTGTTTGGGAGCTTAAGGGCAGGCAGTGGGTGTGCCTGGGGTTCTTATACTTACCTGGCAGGGGAAATACCATGATCATAAAGGTGGTTTTCCTAGGCTGAAGCTCATCCATTGCACTTTGGGGGTACTGACTCCTGCAATTTCCCTCTGAAAGGGGAGACTTGACTGCACAGTTTTTGGTAGTGGGGGATTGCATTTGTGCTTTTCTCTGCTATTTGCTGTGAAAGAAAGTCATGGATGTTTTCTGTCTAAGGTTTTGTTAGTGCTGTTTTACAGCATTTATTTTTTTTTCTGTCAGTTTATGTGCATAGGAGCTCTCTGCTCTTATTTGTCTAGAAACTGTGAGGCTACATCTACAGTGTTGACTTCTGGCACAAGAATTCTTTTGTGGAACGGTCCTTGGCTGTGTCTACACTGGCGTGATCTTGTGCAAAAGCGGACACTCTTGCGCAAAAACTTGCTGCCTGTCTACAGTAGCCACGTGTTCCTGCACAAGCAAACTGATGTTCTCATGTATGAAATCAGGGCTTCTTGTGCCAGAACTCTGACACTCCTGCTCAGGAATAAGCCCTTTTGAGCAACTGTTCTTGTGCAAAAGGTCAGTATAGATAGGCAACATGAATTTCTTGCGCAAGAAAGCCCAATGGCTAAAATGGCCATCAGGGCTTTCTTGCATAAGAGAGTGTCTACTCTGGCATGGATGCTCTTGCGCAAAAGCACAGCTCTTGTGGAAAAACACATGCCAGTGTAGATGATCTCTTCTGGAAAAGTTTTTGCAGAAGAACTCTTCCTCAAAAGAGTTTTTGTGTGAGAACCCGCCATTGTAGACGTAGCTCTTTTGCAAAAACTCTTCCACAAGAGAGTGTCCACACTGCCGTGTCCTTTTGCACAAGAGATGTGCTTTTGCACAAGACCATCCATGGCAGTGTGGACACTCTCTTGCGCGAGAAAGCTCTGATGGCCATTTTAACCATAGGGGCTTCTTGCGCAAGAAATTCATGTTGCCTGTCTATACTGCCCTCTTGTGGAAGAACTCTTACGCAAGAGGGCTTATTCCTCATAGGCTGTGTCTAGACTGGCCACTTTTTCCAGAAAAGCAGCTGCTTTTCCGGAAAAACTTGCCAGCTGTCTACGCTGGCCGCTTGAATTTCCGCAAAAACACTGACGATCTCATGTAAGATTGTCAGTGTTTTTGCGGAAATATTATGATGCTCCCGTTCAGGCAAAAGTCTTTTTCCAAAAAACTTGTACGCAAAAGGGCCAGCAGAGATTTGTTTTCTGCAAAAAAGCCCTGATCACGAAAATGGTGATCGGGGCTTTTTTGCGGAAAAGTGCGTCTAGATTGGTCGCAGACACTTTTCCACAAAAAGTGCTTTTGCGGAAAAGCATCCTGCCAATCTAGACGTGCTTTTCCGAAAATGCTTTTAACGGAAAACTTTTCCATTAAAAGTATTTCTGGAAAATCATGCCAGTCTAGATGTAGCCATAGGGTGCATCTAGACTGGCAAGATTTTGCGCAAAAGCAGTCGCTTTTGTGCAAAAACTTGCCAGCTGTCTACACTGGCCACTTGAATTTGCGCAGCTCCAGCTCGGGAAAAAGCCCTCTTCTACAAGAATATTTGTGCAAGAGGGCCAGTGTAGACAGGGAAGAACTGTTTTGCACAAAAAAGCTCCGATGGCTAAAATGGCAATCGGGGCTTTTTTGCGGAAAACCGCGTCTAGATTGGCCATTGATGCTTTTCTGCAAAAAGTGCTTTTGCGGAAAAGCATCCGTGCCAATCTAGACGCGCTACTGTGGAAATACTTTTAACGGAAAATTTTTCCATTAAAATTATTTCCACAAAATCATGCCAGTCTAGACGCAGCCATGGAGAAAGGAGTATCTCTTTCGGAAGAAGCCCTGTTTTACAACTCTATACTGTTAGGCTGTGTCTAAGTGGGAAAGTGGAAAAGTGTCCATGCCAATCTATACGCGCTTTTCCGAAAAAAAGCCCCTATCGCCATTTTCGCGATCAGGGCTTTTTTGCGGAAAACAAATCTGAGCTGTCTACACTGGCCCTTTTGTGCAAAAGCTTTGCGCAAAAGGGACTTTTGCCTGAATGGGAGCAGAATAGTATTTCCTCAAGAAGCACTGATTTCTTCCAGTAGGAAGTCAGTGCTTTTGCGGAAATTCAAGCAGCCAGTGTAGACAGCTGGCAAGTTTTTCCAGAAAAGCGGCTGATTTTCTGGAAAAACTGGCCAGTCTAGACACAGCCTAAATGTACTTCTGCAAGAATGCTCATGCAGTGTAGACTTTAGGCTCCATCTACACTGCAGGCTTCTTGCCCAAGAACTGTTTTCTGCAAGAGTTCTTGTGCAAGAGCACATCCACTCTGCTGAGTGCTTTGGCTCAAGAGGGCAGGGTAGCTCAGTGGTTTGAACATTGGCCTGCTAAACCAATGGTTGTGAGCTCCATCCTTGAGATAACCATGTAGGGATCTGGGGCAAATCTATCAGGCAGGGTGCTTGACCCTTCCATGAGCACAGGGACAAGACTAGCTGACTTCTCAAGGCTCCTTTCAGCTCTATGAGATGATTTATCTCCTTATAAAGAGCATTGTGGACACTCTCTTGTGCAAGAAAGCTCTAATGGCTATATTAGCCATAGGGGTTTCTGGTGCAAGAAATCCCTCTTGCCTGTGCACACTGCCTTCTTGTGCAAGAGGCCTTATTCGTTATGGGGAGAGGAATAACTCTTGCACAAGAAGCCCTCTTTTCCAATGGCTTACTGTACATTTTCTTGTGCAAGAATGCACATGCAGAGTAAACACTCCGTTAGTTTTTGCACAAGAATGGCCATTCTTGTGCAAAAAGCCCACAGCAGAGACCATAGACATGCAGTGTGAAAAGCCTCACAACAATAAGCCCACCCCAGCAGGTCACACAGAGATTTGAACTCAGATTGCAGGATTCAAAGTCCTGAGTGCTGCCCCCAACATGGGACCAATATGGCTCAGTGTGTGTGGGTACCTGGGATACTCAGTTTTCCAGCTGGCCTCTGCACTTCTGGCTTCCCTCCTGCTGGTTCACCCCTTTGGCTACGACTACACGGCACATTTATTTTGGAATAAGCTGGTCTCGAATAGTTATTCCAAAATAGCTTATTTCGAACTAGCACGTCTACACTGCAGGGAAACCTCAGAATAGTCCAAGGCAGGCTCCCCAGTGTAGACGAGCTACCTCGATTTAGAGCCCTGGGAAGAATAACTCAGAATGCCCCTGGGGAGGGGCTAGTTCAAACTAGCAGCAGTGGCGCATCTACACAGGCCTTATTTTGAAATAGCTAATTTGGAATAGGTGTTATTCTTCGTAGAATGAGGTTTGCAGAAGTCGGACGGAATAGGCTGTCTGTTACTTCAGAATTATTTCAAAATAACGGAATTGCTGTGTAGACTCTTGCATTATTATTGTGGAATAACGGCCATTGTTCTAAGAGAACTTTTGTGTGTGGACAGAACCTGCGCAGCCCAAGAAATATGATGGGTAGCTCCTCCACACAATCATTTTGTCAATTGAAGTGCAGGGCTCTGAAGACATGGACTCAAGGTAACCACCTTGATTGCTTTCTGCAGCTCCTTCAAGCTGCAGTTGAACCAGCAACCTGAGGATTACATGCCAAACACACACTACAGGCCGCTGCTTTGACAGCTGAGCTATCAAAGGTTGCCTGAATAACACTTATTTGTCCAGGTTGTCCCTTCTGCAAGTCTCAGGGCAACTGCTCCCCCAAGTAGATGGCATTGCTGATGAGGGGCAGAGGAGCACAGGGGCTGTCACAGGTACTTCACATGCAGATAGACACCCTTGAGTGAAACCTGAGCTAGATCCATCCATGTCACAGCAAAATGAAGAAAGCTGGGTTCTTCTCATGTGTCTTCTTTGTTCCAGAGTCTCTAGGGGTGCAGTAGGGGCAGATCCACAAAAAAACAAACCGCTTGAATGAACGTTGGCTAGAAACACCCCTGAGGGTTTCCTTCTATCTTTGGCCTGGAAAGGTCTTCTGTAACAATGTGGTTTCTGTGTAATCCTATTGGAAGGCCTGTAGCTATTCACTAGGTCCTGTCCGCCCCACCCCCATTTCCCTCCCATCCCCGAGAAGCCCCACTACCTACCTCCAGTGAAAATGGAGGTAGTGTAGACTTCCTGGGGATGGACAGAAGTCCCGCAGTTTAGCGATTCTGGAAGTAGCACTAGCTGCTCTGCCGGGTATACTGCGGGAGGGAGCATTGGCTCCCTGCACTGCACAGAAGGGGTGAGTCAGTCCCGGGGGAGGTGCGCGCGTGGGGTTTCCTTGCACCGGGGGGTTGGCCCCGGGGCAGGCGTGTACGTGCGGGACTTCCCTGCACCAGGGGGAGGGGGTTGGCCCCCGGGACAGGTGCATGCGGGATTTTCCTGTGTGGGGTCAGTCCTAGGGCAGGCGTGCACGCGTGCGGCTTCCCTGTGCCACAGGTGGGCCAGCCCCGGGGCAAGCACGTGCTGGTTTCCCTCTGGGGGTGGGAGAATCCTTGGAGGAAGTAGATACAGGGGACTCTCTGCCTTCACTGGCACCCCACTCCCCAGCCACAGAACTCTGTCCCCATTCCCCTGTCCCCAGCTACAGAATTCTGTCCCCACTCCCCTGTTCCCAGCTACAGAATTCTGTCCCTATTCCTGTCCCCACTGGCACCCTGTCCCCAGCTGCAGAAACCTATCCCCACTGGCACCCTGTCCCCTGCTGCAGAACCCTCTCCCCTGCCCCCAGCCTCAGAACTCTGTCCCCACAAAATATATAATTATAAATGCTTCATTTTAGATTTAAATAGCATGAATGAAAAACAGACCATTTATTTCATAACTATAAACACGTGATTTTAATTTTATACATCACATAATTTAAAAATAAACTGTTTATCAGAGTGTGTAAGTAAGGGCTGGGGATAGCAAATGATGGACAGGAGGAGAATAGAGAGGGCGGGGCTTCAAGAAAGGGGTGTGGCTTCACGGAAGGGGTGGGGCTTCACAGAAGGGGCGGGGTAGTACATCTTCGCCTGTTCGGAGATTTAAAAAGTGAAATTGGCTGTAAAAAGGTTGGTGACCACTGTTCTAAACTAAAGCCTTCTTCTGCAGCCGGACTGAAGAGCAGCAGCAATTAGCTGTGAGAATGGGATCCTGTCCTAATGGCACCCACTGGTA